TATAATATTGACACTTTTAATTTTAAATCAAGCTTCACTATTAAAACGATTGAAAGGACCGTTCCTTTTGATCAGAATGAAAATATTTTACAACTGCTAACTGAACGAGAATTCTTAAAGGCTCAAGATCAAGATTATAAATTTTTGCATAATGGTTTAGTACAGGTTGCTTTAAAACCTTTAACTCTTCATGGATTAAATGCCATTTTTTTAATTAGTTCTTTAAGAACTTCCACATGATTTAAATTAGTTCTAGTATTTATACTGGAAACAATAGAGGTAGAAGATGAAGCTTTATCAATGGAAGATTTATCTTCTTCTTTATCCATGTCTTTAAGACATTCCTCAATAATCTGACATTTAGCGTCAGTGTTGTAATTATTCCAATAACGAACTTGATATTCCCTGATTAATCTGGGATGTCCATTATGATTATAATCACAAGCCAAAGTCCATGCCCAAATCCATGGAATAAAGAATTCAAGCGAGAAATTTATAATTGACTTAGTTGTTATATCATTGTCCTTTAAGGACGGACTTTTTTCTTTATATAAGTCAAATAGATTTTTCAATTTTTCAGAATATATCCTGTCAATAGCACCATGAATTTCCCACCAATCATAAAACTAGTTTGGAATTTTCGTACCAGTTTCAGTGAATTGGAAGAACCATGTGTGCTTTAAATTTATAACTTCATATAAAAAAATATTATTCCAAGTATCAATATAATCAAAATAGTTATACTCCGTATATGGAGTTTTTCTTAGTGTTCTAGGGATAGTAAGATTAAGACCCCAATCTTTAGCAGGAATTACCCTTAATGTAAGGGTTTTACTATACTGAGGATCTTTATAGTCCGAATTATAATTATAGAATCTCTGGAATTTAACAGAGTCAGTTTCAATTAAAATATTTTCATAATATTCTTTGTTTTTATTTCTAGAGTATAAAAAGGCATTATCCAAGGTCATAAACCTTCAAGCAATATAGTAAGGATCAGTTAGCCAATTTTCATATTCATAGAGTCACTATACTGTTATAAGCAGACAGAGTATGTAACTTTGTATAATTTAGCTTGGGGTTAGCTATAAGAGCCTCTTTAATAGATTTTTTCGATCGGACGATAGTATAACCGTCATTATCTTTATCATCACTTTTATGTGAAGATGAATCACTTTTATGATATGAAGATTCACTTTTATGTGAAAAATCGTCTTTAAGAAGTTGATTATTAACAGTTTTAAGCTTAGTGGATTCAGTTAAAGGAGGATAATAAGCATTGACCTGGACTCTTCCACTAGGCCTTCCTCTTCCGCGGCCTCTGCCATGGGTACTACTCTGGCCTCTATCCATGAGAACCCTGCAAAAATTCCCGAGTTAGAAAATCAGGAAGAGAATTTAATCATCTTTTAATATATTCAATTTTAAAATAAAAAACAGATAAGATAGCCTGTCATCGTGCAAAAATCTGTTTAGATGCAATATTCTTGACATCTTGTCCAAGCACATTTTTAGCAGAGCTACAGTCAAATCTTAGTAGAAATTCTTTGATTTAACAAATCATCTTGAAATTTACTAACACATTTAACAATAGATAAGATTTTCTTTTTAACAGTTGAATAATTTAGTTGAGTAGATCCTCATTTGCCTGAAGTAAATCGAACAAGTAGTTCTTTAGTGGAATTAGGATCTCTTTGTTTAAAAATACCTCCATATCTTTTATCTGAGGCATCAGTTTCAACAATTTTAATCCATGTTGGATTTATTAAAGAAAAACATGGTAAATATTTAGCTTTAAGCTTTATCTTTTTTATTGCTTCTGTAAGATCATTTGTCCAAGGAGATGGATTTTTCTTAAGTCGAGAATATAAAAATAGCAGTGTCCTTAGCAAGATTTTGATAAAAATCAGTTAAATAATTTAAACTTCCCAAAAATCTTTGTAATTGCCGTTTACCTTTAATTTCATTCGAAAATTTAGAGACAAATTCAATACTTCGTTCAATTGGGACTATATTCTCTTGTTCAATATAATGACCTAAAAATCTGACTTTTAATTGAAAGAGTTTCATTTTAATAGCAGAGAGAACAAGACCATTAGCGTTAATAATTTGAATGAATTTATTCAGATGTTTAAAATGATGATCAATAGAATCAGAAAAGATGAGTATATCATCAATATAAATGATGCAAAATGCATAATAAGGATAAAAAATATCATTCATTATATTTTGAAATTTAGAGGGAGCATTTTTAAGTCAAAATGACATAACATTCTATTCATAATGTCTAAAAAGGACTGTAAAAGCAGTTTTATACCTGTCTGCCTCATCAATTTGGATCTGCTAATAATCTGACTTTAAGTCAAACTTAGAAAAAATCTTATCATTATATAATAAAGATAATAAATCCTTTTTATTAGGAATTGGATACCTTATCCATTGCAATACCTTATTTAAAGGTTTATAGTTTATAACAAGTTTAGAAACGCCTCTTTCCTTTTCGGCTGTATTATTAACATAAAAAGCCACACAACTCCAAGGGGAATGACTTTTCCTAATTAAAGACTTTTCCAATAAAGAGTCAATTTCTTTTTTACATAGCTCCAAATATTATTTATTCATTTGGGTTGGTCTAGTCTTAGTTGAAATGTCATTTTCATTAAATTCCTTTATATAGGGAAGAGTTACAACTTGTTTCTTTTTATTCCAAAAAACAGTAGGAAGGGTATCACAAATTTCTCTAGTTATTTTATTTTTAATTTCTTTTATTTTTCTTTTAGTTTCAGGAAATGTAAGGTTATCTAATAAGCTTAACATTTTTGTATCTTCTTTTAAAAAATTTAATTAATTTTCTTTATAAATCAGATTTTCTCTTATTTGATTTATTAATTTTATTTGAGGTGGAGTTATAAACTCAAATAATATCTGTTGACCATTTATGGTAGTCAAAATTCTGTTAGAATCGATTCTTCCTATAGGTTCGATTAAAGATAAAAATGGTGTTACTAAGATCACCAATTGATTTAAATTATCAATGAGCATAAAAGTGGTAGGAATATAAATTCCTTGATTACATACCAAAATATTAGAAAGTTTAAAATTAATATTTAATTTTGACCCATCAGCAACACTTATTGATTGAGTAGTTTTTTCAAAATATTTAGTCGAAATTAATCTTGCCTTTATGCAGTTCGTATCTACGCCACTGTCAATTAGAGCAATAGTTACAATAGTAAATTCAGAATTTATAACTAAGATAATTTAAACATACCATTTTTGATAAGTAATTTTTTCTAATACATTTATGTATTCATTAGTTGGAGAGTTAGAAGATAATGCTTTATCATCTTGAATGTCACTCTCTTCAAGTGACATTTTTTCTAAGGCTAAAAGTCTAGCCTTTATGATTTTTATGTCTCCTTTGACCTTAGTAATTTCTTTTCTTAAATCTTGAACTGTAGTAGGTAAAATTTCTTTTATTTGGGAGGAATTTTCAAGCATGTCACTTTCGGTTCTATTAATGACTTCTTTTAAAATATAAGGTTGAGACAAATTATGTATATTTACTTTTTTTTTGAATTTATTTCTAAAAATTGTTCAATAGCTTTTCTTTTAGAAATTGGTTCATGAATTTTATCTATAAGATCAAGAATAAAATTTTGTGACTTAGTCAAAGTGTTTAAAAGAAGATTTTACTATTACACAAATTTTGACTTAAATATATGTTGTTCTTCTTGTTTCCAAAATCTTCAAAAAAAACTCTGAAAACAAGTGCTACACTTGTTTTTTATTTTTTTGACTCAAATCTCATTTTTTTTCCTAAAATTTAGAAAACAAAAATACTAAACAAACAAATTTTGGATATTTTTAAAATTTTGAGAACAAAAAATTATTTTCGAAATAATAATCAAACATGACTTAAGAGTTCTAGGTGGTCAAACTAAGTGGCCTAGGCTTAGGGCTGGCCCTGTCGACCTAGCGTACTAAGCTTCGAGTAAGTATCTTTTACTTAAGATTTAAACTATCTTTTTTTTTTTAAACATGTGATTATCGACGGCAGAAATCAACATAAGTACCACGGCAGCGACCACGAGGGAGATGCAAAATACCATGTGGACCCACATGTTTTCCTACTGATCACTCCACATATATGAGGAAACCATAAATAGTGAATTTCAAGTGTATATATATTTGCAGGTTTGTTTTGAATATTGCTATTCATGATATTAAGAAATGTCTTTTTTATAATACCAATAGAAATTAATATCGATAATAAAAAGTATTTAAATCCCTTCTCATGTTTGTTTGTTCAATAAGTATTATGGTGAGTCCCACAAATAAACATTTATTCTATCACATCTTATATATACAAATATTTAATTTTACCCTTAACATAATTCATTGAATTACTTCGTTTGTGTAACACTTTTGCACAATGTTTGGTATTACAATCCATACCCAAAAAATTTTGGATAATGTAAAAAATTCACATAAAAAATAAAGAATCTGATGCTATGAATCAGTAACACAGTAAAAAAAATATAAAAAAAAACCGACAATACTGTGCACTTAAACATAATACAATGAAAAAATTCAAAAATCTTTCCTTATGTTAATAAGGAGGAGAATGGTTGTTTGGCTTAAACGATTTTCTAGGTAGTTTACATAATATACTTATAACAGAATCTTAGAACAAAGTTTAAAACACACAAGAAAACAGATAGAAGAGTTCCCAAATAAAATCGATCTATAAAACATATATAATACCACTCAAATCCAAAAGCATTACAATGCAACATAATTACTTATAAACAATAATAGTTTGAGACTTCACAGTTCACACACCACACATCATACTTATAGCTGACATGATACTTAATTGCCACCGCAGCCACCATCTCTGCAACCGCCACCACAACCACCGCCAGAACCACTGGGATGAGGAATCTTTATGACTTTCTTCTTCTTTTTGCTGGTACCCTTGGCGAGAGAAGCCAAAGCTACAGTCCCCGCAACGACCCAATGACGATGCCGAAGAAGGCCCCAAGTATATTGGTCATCTTGCTTCCAACTTCACAGTAAGGAATCTTCATGTTAATGTCAACCACCACCACTACAACTGCCACCGCCACCACAACCACAACCGCCACCACAGCCACCACCTTCGGAACCGCCACTGCCACAACCATCCCCACAGCCGCTTCCAGATTGACCTGCAGTAGCAGCAGCTTTTAGAATAACCATTGAACCATCTTTCATGTCTTTCTTCTTCTCTTTGCTGGTACCGCTGGCGAGAGAAGCCAAAGCTACAGCCACCTTATCGACCCCCAAGAAGGCGAGCCTAAGTACATTGGTCATCTTGCTTCCAACTTCACTTCACCTATGAGGAAACCATATAGTGAATTTCAAATATAACTAATGCACCGTGTATATAGTGCATCGAGGACTTGAATCGCAAGATTAGATGTGATCCCCAATTTAATGATGAATCATTGTGACCATGCCCCATTCGTGTGGGACAATTAAAAATACTGTGGAGAAGAAGAATGGTGATGACTTGACCGCTAATAACCTCAAAAGTCCATTGAATTCAAATTATCACACGTATTCTTTTCGTCTCACTTTGATATTCTTTTAAGGTCAAACATAAGTTACTAGAGTCACTGTGTAGACCCCAAAATTTTCTAAATATAATTTTTAGGGTCTCTAAAGAAAAACTTTTTGACCTCCGACTTCATTCAAATTGTTTTTGCCTTATTCATGTTAGTCTTATAGAGTAAGGCCAGATTTCTTCGCATGCTTGAAGGAATCTTTCTCATATCGATCAAAACAAAACTTGAGTTTTTAATAAAGAGCGCGTTAGTTAGGTTGATTTCTTGCAGGAAAGCTAACACGCACCCTTACCTTTTATTCGCTTGCTTTGCAATACGAGCCTCATACAGAGTCGCGCCTCAAATTACTTGGATCTTGTTGACTCTATTAAATCAGAGAATAGAGTTTTCATAAACATATTTTTTTATTTTGTATTTATTATTTATATCGGCTTGATTGATTGAGTGTCTATGACCCAGTTGTTTTAAATTGATTTTTTTTTTTGTTCCTTAGGCTAAACTCAAATCCTTTTTTGATCTGAGTTAGATTTTTTCCTTCATTGTTTTTAAACATTGATTAAATCAACGCTTACAAGTAAATGAAACAGTCATTAATGTCATAAAGTTAAAAGAAAAATTGGAATTACTATATATTTTAATTAACTAGATAGAAATAGAATTCACCTAAAAAATTATTTGAAGAGCAAAGTATGTTTGGTCAAATACCACGTGATATTTTTTAAACAACAGTTATTGATCCAATCTTGCTGTACAAATGAGGTGGAATTACTGCCTAGAGATAGCTACAATTTGTACTCTCACTGCTCGATTTTTCTTGCGTTTGTATTAGCCACTTAACTATAAATGACATGAATTAAATATTTTAGAGACTAAATTAACAAAATTGATATAATAAAGATTAAATTGTCAAAAAATGGATACTTTTAAGAATAAAAAGTACTATTAATCCCTTAAATTATATTCCAAAAATAATGAAATATAGATTATATACTATTATTTAAATTTTCATTTCATGACCCTAATTTTGTTTTCAATTTGGGGCCTAGGAAATGACTTTAGTGGCTTGTAGGTTGGATCGGGACTAGTTGTGATCTTGATGGTCAATGGTGACCTTTTAAAAATAATAAACGTTTGCAAGTAAATGAAATAGATGTTAATGATGATAAATCAAGGAAGATTACTTATTGGAGTTACAATAAATTTTAATTAATTAGATGGCAAGGTCAAATGACCTTCTCGAGGTTCAGGCGATTCAAAAAGCCCCACGTAGAGACCTAGAAATAACTTTCTCCTAGGCCAACCTCGAGGGATGTCAACACCCCCACGATGACCCTTTGGTTGTAAAAGCCATCATCGCGAACAAGGCGGTACATTGTGTACTCAAATGGCAACTTAGTAGACATTGTCTTCCTTTCTGCCTTCGACCAGCTTGGAATAGACAGATCAAGTCTCGAACCCATAAGGACCCATCTTCTGGGCTTCTCAACCGAGAGAGTCCTACCAATTGAATCTTTATAGCTCGTCCTCACTATGGGAGACCATCCTGCCCAGGTTACTACCACTGTTCGTTTCTTAGTGATGAAGTTTCCCACCGAGAACAGGGTTGGTGTGGTCAGAGGGGAAGAATGCCTAGCTAGGGAATGCTATATGGCATTGATGAGGCAAAAGGAGGTGGAATCTATTCAATTCGAAGATCTAGACATGTGGGACGAGCTGAAAACACGACCCACCCTTTCGGAGCTACTAGAGCCCGTGCAGGTTGACGAGAACCCAGGGCATGTGGTCTTCGTAGGCTCAATGTTGCTCCAAGACATCAAAGAAAAACTCATTACATTTATAAGAGAGAACGCCAATGTGTTTGCCAGGAAATAAGAAGACATGGAAGGAATCGATCCAAGAGTGATTGTACATTGGCTCAGTGTCAACCCAAATTGCAAGCCAGTATATGGCAGAAGTGGAGGAGTTTTGTCCTGGAGAGGCAGAGAGCGATCAACAAGGAGGTGACCAAGTTGTTGCGAACAAAGGCCATCAGGGAGGTTGATTATCCAACCTAGTTGGCCAATGTTGTATTAGTGAACAAAGTGAATGGGAAATGGCGCCTGTGTATTTATTTTACCAACTTCAACCGCGCATACCCCAATGATAGCTTTTCCCTGCCCTAGATTGATTTGATAGTTGATGCCACAGCAGGGCATGAGCTCCTTAGCTTCATAGACGCCTTCTCAGGCTACAATCTGATCAAAATGGATCCAAACGACCAGGAAAAAACTTCATTCATTGCTGAACAAGGAATTTTTTGCTACAAAGTCATGCCTTTTGGATTAAAAAATGTCGGGACCTCCTACTAGAGATTGGTCAATAAAATGTTTCGTGAGAAGCTCGAGTTGACGATGAAGGTGTACATCTACAACATGCTCGTCAAATCACTCAAGTTCGAGCTCCACATTCAGCACCTTAGGGAGGCATTTGAAATCATGCGACAATACAAGATGAACCCGGTCAAATGCGCTTTTGGGTCTCAACGGGAAAGTTTCTGGGCTTCATAGTCAATAGTCGAGGTATTGAAGCAAACCCCAAAAAGGTGAAAGTCGTTCTGGAAATGAAGTCCCCCACCAACACCCGAGAGGTACATTGCCTCACTAGAAGGATAAACAACACTTAATCTGTTGTCTTACATTCCAATGACAAGTGCTGTCCGTTCTTCAAGGTTCTGAAGATTGCTTTTCAATGGGGCGAGAAGTGTGAAGAGGCTTTCCAAGCTCTTAAGACCTATCTAGCTTCACCACTTGTGTTAGTGAACCCTCCAAAAGGAGAAGTCTTAACCCTTTACCTTGCTATATCTGACTTCTCAGTTAGTGCTGCTCTGGTGAAGGACAAGGAGAAGGCCCAACAACCAGTTTACTTTTGCAGCAAAGCCTTCAGAGGGGCCGAGGAGAGATATCTGAGGACAAAGAAGGTCGTTCTGGCCCTTCTCATGGCAACCAGGAGATTAAGGCCATACTTTGAAGCACACACCATCGAGGTCCCAACAGATCATCCGATGAGGCAGGTCCTACACAAGCCAGAGGCATTTGGAAGGCTAGTCAAATGGGCAATAGAACTTAGTGAGTTTGACATTAGATTCAAGCCGAGAAAGACAGTTAAGGGGCAGGTGCTAGCCAATTTTATAGCTGAATTCACCCCACCATACGAGGAGATTATGAAAAACCTAGATTGTGTCTTTGGTAGCCCAACTTGGAAGTTATACGTAGATGACGCCTCAAACGTGCAAGGTTGTGGAGCTGGTCTGATTCTGACCTCGGCTGAGGGATATGATCTAGAATATGCATTAAGATTCAACTTCCAGGCCTCCAATAACAAGGTAGAGTATGAGACCCTTATAGTTAGCCTAAACTTGGCCTTGTCGATAGACGCACAACAGATCATGGTCCACAGCGACTCCCAGTTGGTGGTCAGACAAGTTGAGGAAGAATACGCTGTTAGGGGTGATAAGATGGCCCTTTACATGATGAAGGTGCAGAGCTTGTTGGGAAATTTTGTCGTAGCTGAGCAAGTCTAGGTGCCCCAAGATGCTAACACTTGGGCTGATGCACTGGTGAAGTTAACTACCACTGCCCACCAAGACTTACCTAGAAAAGTTCCCATCAAGATCTTGTCTGAACCCAGTGTCCAGCCCGATGATGGTTAAGCCATGCTAGTTTAGGAGACGACCTCGTGGATAGATCCTATCATATCTTTCTTACAGGATGGTCTCCTCCCAAGTGACCCGAAGGAAGTGGCAAAGCTAAAAACCAAAGCGGCGAGATTCACTATCATTCAAGGTAACTTGTACAAAAGAAGTTTTTCGTTTTCACTAATGAAATTTGTGTTTGAGATGGCGGCAGACTATATCTTGAGAGAAATCCATGAAGGCATCTGCAAAAATCATATCGGCGCCAGAACTCTGGCGAACAAGGCATTCCGGCAAGGATAATTTTGACCCACTATAGCCAAAGACGTGAAAGAGATGGTGAAAAAGTGCCAAGCCTATCAGATTCATGGCAAACTTCCATATTGCCCACCAGAGCAGCTTACACCTGTCATCAGTCCCTAGCCTTTCTAGCAATGGGGATTAGATATCCTAGGACCCCTACTGATTAGTGTTGGACAGTGCAAATTCGCCGTAGTTGCGGTGGATTACTTCACAAAATGAGCAGAAGCCGAGTCGTTGGCTAAAATAACCGAGCAGAAAGTCAAGAACTTCGTCTGGAAGTCGATAGTTTGCCGTTTTTGGCATCCCAAGAGCACTAGTCTCAGAAAATAGAAAACAGTTCAACAACCCGACTTTCAAGGATTTTTGCACAGAATTGGGGTTCAGAAACTACTTCTCGGCACCTTTATACCTGCAATCCAATGAATAGGCCGAGGTCACTGATGAGTGGGTTTTATACCTACGAATTGAGTGCTTTCGGCTTAATGAAATTGCAAATTTTTAATTATTTTATGTTCATTTTTATTCGTGTTGTGTGTTTTGATGTTATTTCATAGGAATGACCATTTGGGAGGAAACAAGGTCAAAATTGGAGCCTAAGTGTTGGATTTTTGAAGAGGAAGCTAAAGGGCATTTTAATGGAGTATTTATAGCGTACCATTTTGTAGCAGTACCTCGGTTTTTTGCCTTTTTGACCATGATTCATTTCGAATCTGAAAAAGTGAAAAACATGAAAGTTTTAGATCAGGATGTCTTCTATAGTCTGTCAAAATTTC